GGGAGTGTCAGAGACAGTGCGATTGGCACAGGACAGAGCGGAGTTTAGGGCTGTTGTACATAGGGTCGCTATGAGTCGCAGGCGACTCGACGGCAATAACAACAACAGCTACTATTTTTGTAATACATTTTCAGTCAGGTTTTCAGTGAGTGGATATGATTATTAGAACTTATTTGTTCAAATCAGGACCAGATCCACATATTACAGGTCTGATTACTCAATAAGTATCTTAAAGAGTATAGAAAATCCTGTAATACTATTCATGCTCTTGCTGTGTTTATAGTTACTTTGTTAAGGGAAATAATGACTGTTTTACTGTGTATTTAGGTTCGTCGTTGGGCTATACTGACTGCAAGAAACTTGGGAAAAGTGGACAGAGATGATTATTACGATTTACAGGAAGTTCTCACTTGCCTTTTTAAAGTCATTGAGTTGGGGCTGTTAGAAAGTCCTGACATTTACACTTCCTCTGTCTTGGAGAAGGGTAAATTGATTCTTTTACCATCGCACATGTATGATACTACAAACTACAAAAACTATTGGCTAGGTGAGTATTTACTATTTATGCTAAGTATGATTACTACTTCACATAGTTTTTATTTGTATTCGGCAAAGATAGTACAACTTCTTTTGATGTGATCAGAATGGCTTTTATAGGATTTCAGTGTGTTATATACTGTCTCAAAGTACTTCACCTAATCAAGTTTTTCATGCATGTGTTATAATTAGCAATGGACTATGTTTTTGTAGTATATGAAATAATACAGTGTAAGGCATTTTAGATTCGGTAAAATACCAGTTGTGTGGTAGGACTCTCAGGAATAATTTTCTTCCTAAGTTAGTACCAGTTCTGCCCTTTAGCAGTTGGATCTGTGAAGCCCTGTTAAAATATTTTAGTTAGTTTTGTCAGTTGAGTCAGAGGAAGCATCAGAAAGGTGAGTTATTTTTTTGTCAATTCAAGAAAACTATACATGTTATTACAGGTATTTGCATGTTATTAACCATTCTCGAGGAACAAGCCATGGATTCTCTACTGTTGGGCTCCGACAAACAAAATGACTTTATGCAATCAATACTTCACACCATGGAGAGACAATCAGATGGTAATAAGCTTTATTTGCAAAATGTTTTACAATACTGTCATTATGATGCACTTTTTTTAAAAAAATAATTTTAATGAGCATTTACAGAGATTTTGGATTTCCATTCATTCATTGCTGCACTTCTTTCCCCACCCAGCCCTCCCTCCCAGTTCGCTCCTCTCTTTCAAAAGTAAAAGAAACACTCCTTTCCTGGTACACAATCACCCCGCACCCCTCCCACCGCTCCAGGTACATTCCACTATGCAACCTTAATTGTGGACTCTTGTGATAACCATAATACCCTATCATACATCGCTTTTAAATTATTCACTCCCTCATCTGTTTCAGCGCAGTATACACAATTTATCCAGTTTTTCTCAGTCTTACCCCAATCCTGATATCAGTCCCATTTTACAACAGTGGCACCATGCAATATTT